GGTGGTGGGGGGGAAAGAGGAAGAGTGAGGGGCATGACGGAGCCACCCCTCGACGCAGGGCGTGCACGGTGGCGCTGTGGAGGGGGGCAACTCGGGAAACGACCCTGGGAGACCTAGGACAAGACCGTGCTATGACATGTGACGCAGACGCGGGAGCACAGGAAAACCTAGACGGTGGTGCCACAGGAGGGTTGGGTGAGTAAGCGACCGACACGAGCAGGCCGCTGCAATATGAGACGACGCAGCTACCTGGGGAGGCGTCCAAACCGGGGGGGGCACAGTGTCCAGTGTAAACAGGCCAGACACTGGGTCTCAGGGAGCATGGTGAGGGGAGCACCTATGGCGGCCTCGGTACAGATAGCAAACCGCTCATGACTAGGGAACGTAGTGATGACGCCAAGGTCCTGGAGGCAGCCAACACCAACTAGGTTCCTGGAGAACGAGGGGACGTGCAAGCCTGTAAGCGAGCCCGAAGGAGCCGACGGACAGGGAAGGGTGGTAGAACTACGAGCGACTACGGGACCGGAGGAGGGGTCAGCAAGGGAAATCGCAGCAGGAGCAGCAACCAACGACAGCGTAGTGGAGTCGCGGAAGAAGCACCAAGAAGTGCCAGAGTCCAGGGTGAAGGAAAGCGTAGTAGTGGCAGCCGGAGTCGGAGCAGCGACGGAGGAACCAAGGCTAAACAAGGCAGGAGGTCCTATGCCTGACGCAGCAGGGGAGGCGAGACTAGGCACACCTACACTAGGGAACACGGGGTAGTAGGAACCAGTCACACTAGAGTCATCAGCATACAGCACATGCAGGGCAGAGCTAACCTCATCCATGTCCATATCAAAGATCGGAATACTACGACGAAGCAAGCTGTACCAGTTGGGGAGGTCGGGCGACGGGCCGTAACGAAGACGAACAGGCCGTCAAGGCGACGGAAGCAGCGAACAGGGGAGTGACCGACCTTACTGCAAACAGAGCCGCGGTGAGGACCGGTCAGGAGCTAGTACTGGCAGCGCCCGTCACCCGAACTGCTACCCGGAGGCACACCACGCGCACGGCCACCACCACGTCCACCGCCGCCACCAGCGCCAGGCCACCCGGGCGGGAGACCACTCGCCCGCCTCTGCTGCTGCGGCTGCTGCGACTGTTGCGGCTGCTGTGACTGCTGCGGCTGGTGCTGGGGCTGCTGCTGCGGGTGGTGCTGGTCCGGCTGCGACGGCTGCGGCTGCTAGGACGGCTACACCTGGGACAGTCCCCTCGTCCGCGCCACCACCAGGCGACCCAACTCCACCACCTCCTCCACCTACACCCCCACCCCCTCCACCGCGCCCAGCCTTGGGGTGGCGGCCCTTCCCCGGACGAAACCGCGCGGCAGCTGCAGTCTCAGACACAGCAGCAGAATCGTCGGAGAAGGTGCACTGAGCAGGGGCACAACCCTGAAAGATGGGGACCGGCACAGTACCGCTAGTCTGGGCGATAGAGCGGTGGCGGGTCTCTATGGCAGACAGGGAATCAACAAAGTTGGTGAGGGTGAGGTCACCGGGGTGGATGCTAAGGAAGCGGTCGCGGGCAGTGGCAAGACGGTTAGGGAGGCGAGTGGATAGCATGTAGAGGGCAGAGCAGAGGGGCGGCTGGTTGGCTCCAAGCTGGGTCTCAGTGCAGGCAAAGCGCCAGGTCGCGTCTATCGTGCGCAGGTGGGCGGCCAGGTCAGCGACAGTGGGGAACGACGCAAGGTCAGGGAAGAGCATTGGTAGGATCAGGCGACCTACCGAGGCAGCGGGCGGGGTGGAATAGCGCTGGACAACAGCCTCTAGGAACGCCTGCGCGGTGGTGACAGACCTAAAGCGAGGGCGCTTAGACAGGGGGAGAGCATGACTGATAGCAAGCTACGCAACAGCGTCACGCGACAGCCAAACGGAGCGAGAAAGGGCAGCGGCTACAGCGGACTCACGCTCAGCGGACGAGGGGTCGGCGGGCAGCGCAGCAGGGGGGTCAGGGCAGGGGAGCGTACCGTCAAGATGGGCAGACAGCGGGTGGCCATCCTGCCGCTAACAAGTGAGATGGCGGCGGAGGTCGACTAGCCATGCATCAAACTCAAGCGGCTGACCCTCAGCGTCAAAGCGAAGCACGTCCGCCATCAGGAACGATGCAGGGCGGTGCAGTGCGATGCAGTGCAGTGCGGTGCAGAGCGGTACAGCTCGATACAGTGCGGTGCAGAGCGGTACAGCGCGGTACAGTGCGGTGCAGTGCGGTACAAGGTAGTGCAGTGCGGTGTAGAGTGGTGCCGAGCGAGGCGGTGCGGTGCTGGTCAAGAAGGACGGGCCGGGCACGAGTCGGAGGTGGGCCGGCGGCGGAACGAGCGCGTAGGGGCACGGGGGGGGGGGGGGGTAGGGGCGGGCGCGACGGCACGAGGGGCTGGCGAAGACGGGCGCAACAGGCACGCGGGGTCGGCTAGGAACGGGCGCGACGGCGCGAGGTGCCGGCTAAGACGGGCGCGACGACTCAGGGGGGGGGGGGACGGCTAGGACGGGCACGACGGCTCTGGGGGCCGGCTAGGACGGACGCGACGTCTCAGGGCCGGCTACGACGGGCTCCACCGCTCAGGGGGCCGGCTACGACGGGCGCGAAGGCTCTGGGGGCCGGCTAGGACAGGCGGATGGCTCAAGAGGGGGGGGGGGGGGGGGGGGGGGCTAGGACGGATGCGACGGCTCAGGGGGCCGGCTAGAATGGGCGCGACGGCTCTGGGGGCCGGCTAGAACGGGCGCGACGGCTCAGGGGGGGGCCGGCTACGACGGTCGCAACGGCTCAAGGGGCCAGCTAGGACGGGCGCGACGGCTCTGGGGGCCGGCTAGGACAGGCGCGATGGCTCAGGGGGGCGGCTACAATGGGCGCGACGGCTCAGGGGCCCGGCTAGGACGGGCGCGACGGCTCAAGGGGCCGGCTAGCGACGGGCGCGACGGCTCAGAGGGCCCGCTAGGATGGGCGCGACGGCTGGAGGGGCGGAAGGGACCGGCTAGGAACGGGCACAAGGGCGGCTAGGGCCTAGGGCGGAAGCGCGGGCAGGCTAGATGGACCCAACCTACTCATGATACCATGTTAGAATAAGAGAATAACTAGAATATGAGGATACAGGGCAATATAGACTAGTGTGTTGTACCCTCTAAGGCACAAACCTGTATAGTCTACAAGTGTGGCTGGAGGACGACAGGGCCGGCTGGGCGACGGGGCCAGCGTGACGGCAAGGTCGGCTGGGCGCTGGACGGGCCGGCTTCGGGCGACGGGGCCGGCTGGGTGACGGGGCCGGGCGGGCGACGGGGCCGGCTAGGGGACGGGGCCAGGTAGGCGACAGGGCCGGCTAGGCGACGGGGCCAGCTAGGCGACAGGGCCAGCGGGGTCGACTGGGCCGGCTAGGCGACGGGGGCCGGCGCGGGCCGGCTACGGGACGGCAACGGGCCGGGCTACGGGACAGGGCCGGCTACGGGCGCGAGCGTGGGCGCGGGACGGGCCGGCTACGGACGAGGCCGGGTACGGGCGCGAGCGCGTGATGGGCCGGGCTACAGGACGGGGCCGGCTACTGGCGCGGGCACGGGGCGGGCCGGCTACGGGCGCGGGCGCGGGACGGGCCGGCTACAGGCGCGGGCGCGGGACGGGCCGGCTACGAACGGGGGCGCAGGAGGGGCCGGCTACGGGTCGGGCCGGCTACGGGACGGGGCCGGCTACGGGCCGGCTACGGGACGGCTAGGGGGAACGGGCCGGCGCGGGCGGGCGGGCGGCTACGACCTATGGCGGAAGCGCTCGTGGGCGGGTGAGACCTAACCTACTCATGATACCATGTTCGAATGATAGAATGAACTAGAATGGGTGAGTACAAGGGAATATATCCTAGTGGGTTGTACTCTCTAAGGCACGACCCTATATAGTCTACAACAACATACTCATATATGTTTGACTATGTGTTCCCTCGGTACAGGTACAGTCACGTATTGTACTCCGGGATTATTTATCACGCAAGCACGTTGCAAATATAGACCATCTTCGCTAGAGGGGGGGTAGTGTAAGGAATTTTCCATTCCTTAACGCGCCACACCGCTAACATGTACCCCAACCCCACACGGCACCGACACCTGCCCTAGATTTGGCCCGTACACGCCACACCGCTAACATGTACCCCAACCCCACACGGCACCGACACCTGCCCTAGATTTGGCCCGTACACGCCACGCCGAACCATTTCACGTCACTCCCAAGCGATCCGCGCCTTCGGATGCCTTCGTCGTACCTGTTCGATCACATAACTAGGATTGCTCGGGTGTTCCTATATCTTGCTTTGTCATTCCATTGTACGACATTCTGTTATTCTGAACGTCGACATTTGATTCCGCGCTACTCTGGTGAAACACCCATAACACCTTCATAGCTAGGTGGTGGTTTTTAGTGCTCCTACAATCTCTAGATTGAGAGAAACCATAGTAAGAAGAATCTTTTACATGAAGCATCTGTAGAAGCTTTCCAGTTCAGGGTCAGGCCGAACCGCTATTACCGGTATCAATCATGCTTGCAAGTCTTTCCAGGTCAACCGCCACTGTCATTGCCAGTCATCTTCTGCCAGAATTATTGGAGCCGCACCAAGCAGACGCAATTTTGGATGGTGTCACAGAAGTTCACTGCAGCTCGTCGCGTCGCGGGAGTTCACCTTGAGCTCGTTTACTACGGTTACGTGAGGTGCGTTTTGTTCAAAGAGGGTTTTGTCTACGCACTAGAATGGTTGAAAGGGGTTCTCAGAGAACACACGAAGTGCTGTGACACAATTATGGTGGTTCAGTTTTGGTAAACCACATTGAGTCAAGCAAACCAGAGCTGCTGTAGTGCAATGCTTACACTTGCAACGCCCTGCATGCCCACCGCCATTATTGCTAGACCGCTGCGAAGGCGAGGCGGCTCGAGCAACACCAGCCAGTGCTTGGCTCAACATACCAGCGGGGTGAGCATATAAGCGGCGCTTTCATGTCATCTCAGCAGTAGCCTTCTATCAGCCTTCCTCAATAGCCTATTGAGAGCACTGCAGTTGCATAATCTCGACATTCACCTTTTGCTTCCGTCCTAAGGGAAGCTTTCAGTTTCGTGCAATGGCCTTCGACGCTGGAAAGTTAGCTCGCCGCTTTCTGTTTTCGGTTTTCCTCGTCGTTCTGATTTTTGAAGCCGCATATGGCGCCGACACCGTCTCGACGACTGACTGTTCCTACTGTGGAACTGACGTGGCCTGCATCAAGCAATGCACGGTGATCCACTTATTGTGACACACAGATAATGCTGTTGTTTTCCTTCCGCGGAATTTCAGTTTTGCCCGTCACACGACACCCGAAGTTTATCTCGCAAGTTGCATTTTCGACAATTTCGCCACCTTTACTTGCCGTCTGTCTCAAGCTGGGCCAACACAAACTAACTCGAGTCTTCCATTTCCCCTCAACCATCATCGCTACTGCTATGATCTCCCGTTTTTTCGCAGTGCGAGGCTCCAGACATGAAACCAACCCTGTGCATCTACAGTTCTACATCCTCGCAATTCTGTAAGTCCTTATCCAAAGCCACACAATTCTGTAAGCCCTTATCCAAATCCTCACAATTCTGTAAGTCCTTATTCAAGGCCACACAATTCTGTAAGTCCGTATCCAAATCCTCACAATTCTGTAAGTCCTTATTCCCTTGCGCTTCACCATGTCTACATTTCTGTTTAGACACAGCAGCTCCATCCAAACAGAATCAAATATCCTCTGCCATGCAGCGCCACAGGTTTGATATACCCCCCACATTTGCCCCTATTTCCGGCTTCTGCCGTCATTCCCGCTGGCAGATGGCGACTCAGTCACCTGCAAGTACGCCTGCTGGCCGCGCATACTGCTTTTCTGTCTCGGAGGCGCGCTCGTCCTCACCCTTATCGGCGTCTCCATCTTCCTCATCGTGCGCTGCAACCGCAAGCGTGCCGCGGAGCAATACGCCGCCAAGGCCGGGCCCGCAGGAGCAGGCTATCCGCCCGCAGGCAACGTGTAGCTAGAACATTAGCAACTTCAGTGGCTAGTACAGTAGCTAGTACAGTGGCGAGTGCAATGGCTGGCCCAGGAGCTCCCCTTCGTCCATGAAGAAGTGCCTCTGCAGCAGTAGTAACGAGGCAAATAAGGAGTTCTAGCCGTGATGCAGCAATGGCCGCTTGCTCAGCCCTAAGTTTTATTTGAATAAAATGCGTGCAACACCTTAAATTGAGTACACAGCTATCCTAATTTGTGACCTATATTTCTCATTGTGGAACCTACTCCGTCAAACCGACTGCGCATTATCACATCAGTAGCAAAACGATAGTAAACATACTTAGTGTACCGTATAAGGTTCTCCATATTCATAATTGATTCATGTGAAGGCTTATACAAGATCCTTTCCCTGCGACACACCCCGAGATTCTCTTATCGGGTAAAATTCTTTCTAGGTCAAACGCTAGTCCTGTACCAATGCCAGTCAGCAGCTGCCGCAAATCTCCGCAACCTAAATCTCCGCGACCCGCGCACAACACAACTTCATTAAATCTCACTTTCAGTTCGCTTACTACGGTACTGTGCGTTACGTCTTGCTACGATGGGATTTGTTTTGACCCAGGGTTCACACGGGGTTCGTTGAAGCTTTAGAATGGCTGAGTAGGGTTCTATGAAGGCGTCTCCCACGAGAAGGTCCAGCATACAATGTCTGAGATGTTGTACGTTTCAAAACGGTGTCGAACATACATTGCATGTTATTATAGACTATATAGGCTTGTGCCTTAGGGAGTACAACCCATTAGGTTATATTCCCTCGTATGCCTTTGTTCTAGTTATTCTTTCACTTCAACATGGTATCATGAGTAGGTTAGGTCCCCCCGCCCACTAGCGCTTCCCCTCCCACACGTGCCGGCCCTGTCGCCTAGCTGGCCCCGTAGCCCAGCCCGCCACGTCGCCTAGCCAGCCCTGCCTCCTAGCCGGCCCCGCCCCCTAGCCGGCCCCGCCTCCTAGCCGGCCCCGCCTCTTAGCAGGCCCCGCCACCCAATCGGCCCCGTCGGCCCTGCCTCCTAGCTGGCCCCGTCCCCCACTCGGCCCCGTCGGCCCCACCTCCTAGCCGGCCTCGCCCCCTAGCCGGCCTCGCCTCCTAGCCGGCCCCGTCGTCCGACGGCCCCGTCGCCTAGCCACCCCCCCCCCCCTCCCTAGCCGACCTCGCCTCCTAGCCGGCCCCGTCGCCTCGCCAGCCGGCCCCGTCGCCTCGCCAGCCGGCCCCGCCTATTAGCTGACCCCGTCACCTAGCAGGCCCTGTCGCCTAGCAAGCCCTGGTGCCCAGCCGGCCCTGTCTCCTAGCCGACCCCGCCTCCTAGCCGACCCCGCTTCCCAGCCGGCACCGTCGCCTCGCCGGCCTAGTCGCCCAGCCGGCCCCTTCTCCCAGCCGGCCCCACCTTCTAGCCGACCCCGTCGCCTAGCAGGCCCTGTAGTTTCGACCGGCCCCATCCCCTTGATGGCCACGTCGCCTAGCCACCCCGTAGCCCAGCCGGCCCCGTCACCTCCACACCTAGCCGGCCCCGTCGCCTCGCCGCCCGCGGCCCCGTCTCCCAGACACCTTGCCGCCGTCCACAGCCCTCTCCACCGCGCTGCACCGCCCGGCACCGCACTGCACCACACTGCACCACTCTGCTCCACACTGCAATGCACTGCACCGCGCTGTACCGCACTGCACCGCACATCACTGCTCTCTGCCACACCCTACTGTTCAGTACTGCCTTTCTGCTGCTGCAGCGACCATGATGGCGGACTCGGTCCTACGTTTTGATGCGGAAGGGCAGCCGATTGAGTTCGACTCGTGGCTCGTTGACCTCAACCGACACCTGACTGGTCGGCGGCAGGACCGCCACTCCCTGGCTGTCCACATCAACGGTACGCTCCCTTGCCCGGACCCCCCTACTGCTCTACCCGCTGACCCCACGTCTGCGGACCGTGAGTCCGCTGTAGCTGCTGCCATTGCCCGTGCTATCTGGTTATCGCGTGACGTTGTTGCACAGCTTGCGATTAGTCATGCCCTCCCTCTATCCGAGCGCCCCCGCTTTAGGTCGGTCAGGACTGCACAAGAGTTTCTAGAGGCTGTTGTCGCCCGCTATTCCACCCCCCCCTCTGCCTCCGTCGGTCGCCTAATTTTGCCCATGCACTTTCCTGATCTCGCGTCTTTCCCTACTGTCGCTAACCTGGCCGCCCACCTGCGCACGCTAGACATGACCTGGCGCGCTGCCTGCACTGAGGCCCAGTTGCGTGTGTTTGAGCCCCCCATCTGCTCTACCCTCTACCTGCTTGCCACCCGCCTCCCTGACCGCCTTGCCACCGTCCACGATCACTTCCTTAGTCTCTACTTCGCTGACCTCACCCTCACTGACTTTGTCGACACCCTGTCAGTCGTAGAGACTTGTCAGCGCTCTATCGCCTACTCTAGCGGTACCGTGCCGGTCTCTATCTTTCAGGGCTGTGCCCTTGCTCAGTGCACTTACTCTGACGGTTCTGCTGTGGTCGCTGAGACAGCTCCGGCTGCGGAGACAGTCGCCACAGTGCAGTTTTGTACGGCTAAGGGTCATCGCCCCAAGGCTGGGCGCGGCGGAGGTAGCGGAGGAGGGGGTGGCGCCAGTGGTGGAGGTGGCTCGCCCGCTGGAAGTACTGACGAGGGGGCTGGGGCTGGTGCCTCGGCTCAGCAGTCCCAGCAGCAGTCGCTGGACCAGCAGCAGCAGCCGCCGCAGCACCCGCAGCAGCAGCAACAGCAGCTGCAGCAGCAGCATCGGCAGGTCGGTCGTCTCCCCCCCGGGTGGCCTGGAGCCGGCGGTGACGGTGGTCGCAGTGGTCATGCGCGCAGCGTGCCGTCAAGTGGTAGTCAGAGTGACAGGCGCTGCCAGTACCAGCTCCAGACCGGTCCTCGCCGCGGCCTCGTGTGCGGTAAGACCGGCCATACCCAACTCGTTGCTTCCGTCGTCTAGACGACCTGTTTCGTCTCCGCTTCGGCCCGTCGCCTGACCCCTCTGACTGGCACAGTCTGCTTTGTCGTGGTGTTCATATCTTTGATATGGACATGGATGAGATTAGCTCTGCTTTGTATGTGTTGTAAATCGATGACTCTAGTGTGATTGGCTCCTATTACCCTGTGTTGCCTAGAGAAGGTGTGCCCAGTGTGCCTAGTTAAGGCTCCCCTGTTGCATCAGGCGTAGGATCCCTTGCTTTGTTTAGCCTTGCGTCCTCACTCGCTCCTCCGACCTCTGTCGCTGCTGCCGCGCTCTCCTTCACCATGGACTCCGGCGCTTCCCGTTGTCTCTACACTTACGCCGCTTGCAGCTCCGGCTGCAGTTGCTCTTGCAGACCCTTCCTCTGGTCCTGTAGTCGCACGTAGCTCCACTACTCTCCCCTGTCCGGCGGTTCCCTCGGTCTCCCTTATAGGCCTGCACATCCCCTCGTTCTCTAGGAACCTAGTTGGTGTCAGCTGCCTCCAGGACCTTGGCATCACCGCTACTTTCCCTGAGCACGAGCGGTACGCTGTCTGTACTGAGGCTGCCACTGGTGCCCCACTCACCACGTTCCCCCGGGACCCAGTGTCTGGCCTGTTCACGCTGGACACCGCGTCCCCCCTGGTTGGGACGCCTCCCCAGGTAGCAGCGTCTTCCCAGGTTGCTGCGGCGTGCTCCTGTTGGTCGCTTACTCACCCTTCGCTCCTGTGGCACCATCGTCAAGGTCACCCCACCCTCACGCGCCTCCGTCACATGTCCCAGCACCGTCTTGTCCTAGACCTCCCTGAGTCGTTCCCTGCGCTCCCCTCCTCACCCGCGCCTCCGTGCACACCCTGCGTCGAGGGTCGGCTCCGCCGTGCCCCTCACTCCTCCTCGTTCCCCCCCACCTCCGCACCACTGCTGACCCTGCACATGGATGTCGGGGGCCCCGCTCCCGTCCATGGGCAGCGTCGCGAGCGCTACTTCCTAGTGCTTGTCGACGACTACACACGCTACACCACCGTGTTTTCCCTGGAGCGGAAGGCCGACGTGCCTGACGTTCTTCTCCCGTGGCTTGTCTCAGCGCGTGTTCACCGAGGCCTCCCTATCTTGCATCTTCACTCTGACCGTGGTGGCGAGTTCGCCTCTCGCTACCTTGGTCGCTTCTGTCGTGCGGAGGGTATCACCCAGACATTCACCCTGCCAGAATCCCCGCAGCAGAATGGGGTCGCTGAGCTATGCATAGGCTTGGTCATGGAGGTGGCTTGTACCTCCATGATCCATGCCGGTGCACCCCATTTTCTGTGGCCGTTCGCCATTCGCTATGCCGCCCACCAGCTCAACCTGTGGCCGCACTCTCAGCGCCCGCAGGTTTCGCCAACGCTTCTCTGGACCAGGTCTCCTGGAGCCGCGTCTGCGTTCCATGTCTGGGGCTGCCTTGCTCAAGTTCGTGCCTCTGGCACGAACAAGCTCGCTGCCCGCACAGTCCCCTGTGTCTTCCTAGGTTTCCCCCTTGACTCGCCTAACTGGCAGTTCTACCACCTGCCTTCTCACCGGTTCTTTCACTCTCGCGACGTCACTTTAACAAGTCCGTCTCCTTCTACTACCGCTTTCCCCACCAAGGTCCCCCAGTCACTCCCCCCCAGCTCCTGGTTCCCTCCCCTCCACCGGTAGCCCCTGCTCCTCCCCCCCCCTCGCCCTGCCCCGTTTGGTGTGTCTCACGTCACCCCACTCCCGTCAGGTGTCCCTGCCGAGGAGTCTGCTGACTCTCGTGACTTGGCGGAGTCACTTCCCCCGCTTGTCCCTGCCATGGTCTCCCCTCCCCTGCCGCCGCCGTTGCTGTCCCAGCCGCAGCCGCAGTCGCCGTCGTCACCGCCGCTGGTTTTCGTGGATTCTGGGGGTGCTAGGGAGCGGGCTAGACCTTGTTCTGGCGAGGGCTCTAGGGGTGTTGGCGTGGGGCTTCTCGGAGGGATCCGTGTTGTCGCTGGAGGTTCCGGTGTTGGAGTCGGACAACAGTCGCAGTCGTCGCCGCCGGTGTCCGCCCTTCGCCTCCTCTGTCTTCCTTCCCCTGATCGCCTGCCAGTGCCTCCCCCGTCGCTACCGCCTCCTCCTCCGCCGGTGCACGGCCCAGTGTTTCCTCCCCCGGACTCCTCTCCGGCTCGTTTTCCTCTCCGTTATCCTCATGTGTCTCCTCCCCTCTCTCCTGACCCGACTCCTCCTGCTCACGTCTGGTCTCCTC